TCCGGCGTGGGGGCGGGCCCGACCCAGCGCCCCGCGTCCGTGGCGTTAGTGCGCTGGGTGTGCGTGGGGGGCGCGGGGCGCCCCGTCCCCCTCCCTTGGAAAGGGACACGGCCACGCACCGCCCAACCGCCGTGTCTCGGCGCCGTGAGCACCCGCGTCCCGCGTTGTGGCATCGCTGTTGCTGCGAAGCCCGGACGTGTCGGCCTGAGACGCAGCTTGTGAGCTAGAATCGATCTGCGATTGGAAATCGAAATAAATGACCTGTGTAGTGAGTTATTTATCTTTTTGAGCTAAACAGCTAGGACGTAACGGAAGTTTTGTTGTAATTTTGACTTAGTGTTAGGAGTTCTTCGGGAATCTATGGAAAGAAGCATGGCAAAAGTTTATGACAAGTTCTTGAAGTCTTTAAAAGCACGCTGGGCAATATTTGTATGCCCTTTTTAGGTACACGAAAGCCTTCGTTTTTCCTACCGTATGCACCATTGCGTGCCTGAGCAGCTTTGCAGAAAGAACGTGCACAGTATGTGGTTAGTGTCTGAGCCGCTGATACTGCTTTTTAAAATCTTTTGTAAGAAATGTTACTGGTTTATGTTCCTCTATCAAAAATGGTGAATTTGAAAAAGCTCTTGAATTAAAAAATAACGTGGAAGAGCGAGCAGAGGAAAAAATGAAAATTGGGTAGTTGAGGAAAAATACAGTCTTGATTATAGTGTTAATTTGATAATTCATGGCTTTGAAAATGAATTGTTGGTCTATGGGATGTAATTCAAAGGGCAAAATATCTTCGTTACAGATGCGGCATTCCAGGCGAACTAATTATCCTGACTGGGATAAAAAAGAAAGTCCGGATCGCAGAAGATGCGACAGTGCTAATAAGAGAAAGAGGAGATCATTAACTGGTGCACAGGAGAACAAGCAGTGCAAACATGATCTTTCTAAACTTCCTGACAGGTAAATAACTTCTTGACTTCTGATATCAGCAAGCATCTGTTTTAAGATTTTATTATTTTTATAAATCTCATGATCTTAAAAAGCTTTCTTGACAGGGGTACTAGAACTATTTTAATTAAGTTTATTTGATCCTTTGTTTGTAGTACCTGTTCAGAAACCAAATCTGTAAATGAACGAGACCATCATGAACGACGCTATGTTGAAGAATACAGAAACGAGTACAATCAGGGAGGTGATACTGGGCATCACAGTAGCAAATCATCAGGTCATAGTGGGACGAGTAGCTACAAAAGGAAATACAAGACACATCACACTACCTGTCATCATCATAATTCACAGGTGGTGTGACCGATTTCAATTTAGGATTTTTTTATTTTAAGAAGATAGATTCTCATCTGGGCAGTAGTAATTGGGTGTGGGGGTTTGGGGAATTCTGTCAGTAATAATTTATTCCTTTAGCAAATATTAGTAGATTATTCGTTTTGCTAGGATTTTATTTCCTTCAGTGAAAATGTATAGTTTGTAGGTATGCTTGTGATACCACAGAACATAGTCTTGCTATTTGTTCATTAATTTGCTCAGATATATCCAATGAACAAATAATGAACAACCATCAATTGGAGTACTTGAAATACAGGCATCGCTTTCATGCCTTCAGAATTTTTATTATGACAAGCATTTATTTCAGCCCTACTCGAAAATCCAAGCACAAGCTTTTAAACTTGCCTTTGACTAAGTATCACTGAAATAGCAAGGAGATAATGTCAGATTTTTACCTTTTTAAAAATTAATTTAGTCAGATGTTTTAAGTATCGCTGAAAAATCTGTAGAATCAGATATGTATGATGTCTGCCCACTAGCAGGGCAGTTTTTCTGATCTTTGTTATGTATTTAACTCTTAAAAAAGCTGAAGATAGGATTTATAATTCAAGATCTTCAGCTGAGACAGCCTAAAGTAAATGTATATGCTATTTATGATTTAAAAAAAAATAAATTCTTATCAAATATTCATACCAGTGATTTAATCTCAATTACTTAAGATGGGTATTTTAATTTGGCCACAAGGCTATTTTAAGTATCTATATATAAGATAATTATTAAGTCCTTTTGCTTTAAAAAAAATATGGGCACTGAAATCCTAAAGTAAAATTCAGTGAACCAATCTTTTAAAAGAAAAACAATTGTGTTGTAATTTTTTGTTGCCTTGCCACTTTGAGTATCTCATCTGAAAATCTGTTCCTTGCCATGTTTTTCTCCTGTAACATAAACTATGTGCCCTGTGAATTTCCGGGGACTGAATTTGAAATTGCTCCTGCCAACCGTTTGTGGCCTGGCGTGTATCTGAATGCCTGAATATCTCCCTGCTGAATGAATTTCGTATTCTGACCTGAATTCACTCGGGTTTATTGATTGGCTGGACGATCTTGGTGCCGTTCCAGAAGAGTCATCGAAGGAAAAGATCCAGGAGTGTAGAGGATGATGAGGAGGGTCACCTGATCTGTCAGAGTGGAGACGTACTAAGTGCAAGATGTATAGAATATTTTTCAAAATTTATTAACTTTTCAGATAGAATAAGTTCTTTTAGCGTAAGATGTGAGGGGGCTTTGGAAGTCTTTCCTTTCTGTCTTGACTTTTTTTTGTTTGGGGGTGGGGATTGTTATTCTTTTTCTGTAGAACTTTAAATATGTTTCTTTTTTCTTTTTCCCTTTTTTCCCCCCCAAAAAATAGTAAATGAAGTTAATGAACCTACTAGAATGAGATCCCTGTAAATGTGCCTTGATGAGAGTTGTCCAATAACATCTCTCAAACTAGATATTTACAATTTAAAGAAGCACAGTCTAGAATAATCTTCAGTGATAGTACTTAGTCTTTCTGTTTGTTTTATTTTTGTTTGTTTGCTTGCTTTTGTGATAGCTGAGTAACTTCCCAACTTCTGTGACTGAGAGTTCTTTTCTTTATAGATGAGATTGTTGCTACTTTGGGTGAAGGTGCTTTTGGAAAAGTAGTGGAATGCATTGATCACAAAGCGTAAGTTTTTAATTAAATACATGTAATTTTTCTCACTGATGCTATCCCACTGTGGTTCGTGAAGTGCTTTCTGATTGTGTCAGGTTTTATCTTTCCTTCCTCACGTGCCGCTCTGTGTATTTCTTTAAGGCTGCCGCAGTTCCCAAACATAAATTTGTGTTAGTACATCATGCTAAAACCAGCACCTAGACACGAGGGTTGTGCAGGACTGCTGGATGAGGCAATGGGTGCGTCTTCTGCAGGCCCACCCCAGCCTGCTGTTGGGGGGAGGTGGCCTAGAGAACGTGGGGTGAAGCTGCACCCCCCAGACTGGGCAGTCCCCGGGGCCTGTACCACCCCCGGTCTGTAGAATGAGCAAGGTCTCTGACATCATAAGGTAGCTTACCTTAAAGTATCATCTGTGATGACACAATGCCATTTGGGTTCTAGCAGAGAGTATATTATAAATCAAGAATGTATTTTGTGTTTGATCGCAGTTTTGCTCTGTGCAATAGTAGGCAACTAGATTGTCTTTCTAGTCACTGTAGAAGGCATTGACACCT